ACTGGACCCAAGACGTCGAGTATCGACGCAGGATGTTCCAGCAGTACAAAATTAACACCAAAGGACTTGAGGATAGGCGGGGAAGTGTGTTCCCCTCCGCAGTATTCCTCGTCCATCAAGGCAGAGCCCACGAAGAGTTCGAAAAGAGCATCCTAGAGCAGAGGTCTCAGGATGCCCCTTGGGTGTGGTCCAGTGCCCCCAAGGCCACGAGTAATGACAGATGGGCCCAGTGGAGACTTACCAATGCGATCAACAACCAGTTCTACAGAATGTACCACAAGTACAACACGGCCACGTTCAAGATACGTCGTTAACGTTTCGCCGTTATTTTTTTCGTCATGCAAACCACCACGCAGAGAACTGCCACATCAAACCAATCATCTTTCCGTCAAAGCAGATGTCACCCTCATCTTTGTGTAGCAATCGTGGTCGTACGTGAGAAATGCGCTGACAGCCTCCCTGTGCTGAAGCCTCCCTGCTGAGATGGGATCGACGTCGCAGAGAAACGGATCCTTTGACGGATGAGGAATCAATCAACCAATGTTCTCTTCTCAAAAAATGCGCACAGGAATATTCGGGTTCGTCCCAGACATTCGGGCTCAGCGGAAGTGTAAAGACCCGACCGACACATCCGTCGCTTTCCGACAAATAGCGCGCGTCGCCAATCGGGTGTGCCGAGAGGTGCTCAAGGTATCTCACGGGTGTCTAGACGACCGGTCGCGGCCGGGTTGAGACTAAGGAGACCTGGGTTGTCGGGTTGAGATTGGCCAAACACCGCCAGACAGGACTCCTCCCACTGCGCTTGGTGCCATTCGGCGAGCTCGAGAGCAATGCGTCGGAGCGTCTTCTGGCGCATCCTGCCCTTACGCAGACTCTTCTCAAGAACGAGGACCTTCTCGCCCTTGACGGTGAAGGGGAACTGGGCGTCGCCCGTACAGTCCACGCCGTGAGCATTCTCGCATAGTCCGCTGGAGGGGTATTCCACGCCCTGAGCACACCAACGCGTCTCGTCGAAAAGCGGTTTATCCGCTCGCCGGTAGTACTTCACCCGACGTCTAGAGAAGCGACTCACGTTCCTTGCCCTTAGCTGTACAGTCCCTTCTCCACACTGCTTGTTCTCCGCTTTTTTGTGTTCCGGCACGTTGTTTTCGGGCACACACGATTGTTCCTTCAAAGCTCTCAGCAGTTCCGCAACTGTTATACGGTGAGCGTCAAGTCGCCACTCCGCGTAGCGGGTATTTTTAGCCATTCGCGCGGGTAGTTTCAGAGCATCATCCAAATCAACGACGTACACCACTTCGTCCAGAGGCTTTCTCTCGAAGAGACCTTTGGCCCAAATCGCAATAGTGGCGACCTGTCCAAGAGAACGCACCGGGGTAGATACAGGACTAGCGATTAAACACCTCATCCACAAGATTTTACGCACCTCAAAATCGGGAACTGGGGGAAGGAACGCCGCCACTGAGAGCGCCGCATGGGAATCCTTCCCGGCTTTTCAGATCGATGGCACCGTCTGGTTCTTTGTCTGATGTGCCTCTAGGCAGAACAGAAATTCCAGCGCGTCGGAACTAGACGGGTAAGACTTTGAGGCGAGTTCTTGCGGGTATAGTAGTGAATTCATAGAGGCCGATCGGAGTGCCCTGAACGTTCCGAAACTCGGAGTTCATGTCCATCGTGTATCTGCCCTCCGTAGGTCTTGGGATTGGCCCCGAACATTAGCTCGGAGATGAAGGGTGCTCAAGTCCCTTCTTTTTTGAAGATGGTACGACGACCGGTATGGGGGCTTGCTCAGCGGGGTAGTGACTTGCTTAACGGGGTGCGAAAAGGTTTATCTGGGGATGCGGCTTGACAATGAAAGTCATCAGCTATCGCACATCCAGAGACGGACCGTCATTGCTCGAGAAGCGCTCAGTGCCCCAGAGATCAAGTTACCTGAGGTGGAAATGCCGCAGGCTGATCTAGAAAATGCCGAAGGTTAATACAGAAGTCCAAAGTTCTCCTGATTTCGGTTGGTTCACGAGTACCTCCGTTCCGTTGACGGTAAAGTTGAACTTGGCGTCTTTTCTGCAATCCCCCGCGTAGTCACAACGAAACTGAGTCTTATGACTGGCTGCACTTCATGAGTAACTTGCAGAATCCATGATATGCCCGCGGGCTGTGTCGATCACGAGTTCTGTCGATCACGAGTTCTGTCGATCACGAGTTCTGTCGATCACGAGTTCTATCGATCACGAGTTCTATCGATCACGAGTTCTATCGATGGCTGAGCAAGGCAACACGTGTTGAGAGAAGATGCGGGCGAAGCAAAGAACCCAACCTCCTTCCGCTTCTGATCAACTCAAACGTACCAAGTCAAGCGTACCATCCTATGTATGCACGTCTGAAGTTGGGCAGTGTAAGTTGCAGTTCAATGTTATGGTATTACGAACCGGTCGGTATTAGAGACTGGTCGGTATTACAGACTGGTCGTTCATTACAGACTGGTCGTTCATTACAGACTGGTCGTTCATTACGAAATAAACTTCTTCCCATTGATCTCGGTGCCAGGCGGCGAGACGAAGAACAGTCGCTTTCAGCGCCTTATCTTGCCTGCTCGTCTTTGGCTCTAGAACGAGGACCTCTTCTCCCTTGATGACAAAATCGAGTGATGACTCGGTGAGTTTGGCACAGTCCGCTCTGTACTTATAATCCGGTAGTGGAACGAACAATTCTGTACGAGTACGATAATGTCTTAGTCGATTTCTAGAACAGTAAGAAACGTCCTGGAAACTCAACTTTTGTAAAGCAGTCTCTTCCCCCTTGTTTTCCGCTGCCGAATCATGGTTCTCGAAAGCCTTCAATAGCCCTGCAATTGTGATGGGGTGAGCGTCCAGCTGCCAGCGCGACCCAAACCATAAGGAGCTCGGCTTTAACTTCCTAATTTCATCCAACTCAACGACGTACACCATATCACCCCAATCCCAACGGCCGAACAGTCCTCCGTTCCAAATTACAACAGTGGCGACCTGTCCAAGCGAAAGTTCCGGAATGGACGGAGCACATCTAACTGGGCATCTCATTCGCCAAAACTGTCACATCTTAGAAATTGCCCGCTATCCGGGAACTGCCAGGGGTGGCATCGCTTTCGAAATGGCACCCAAGTCGTTATTATCGAGGGCCCGCTTTCGGACACCCCTGTCAAAAAACTCTCTCCTTCGCAGCACCCCCTCTCGACAATTGCACATCATGTCTAGATTTAGAGTCCCACGCACACTTCATCGTAACTCAAACAAGGAACTCACTGACGGCGCGTGGACAAGCGACACGGCCAGCACCCAGGGTGGTACACTTAGAGGACGGTTTACACTGCGGCTCACACGTCTTTACTGCTTAGAATCACCCATCCGCACCAGTCCACCTCATTTTAGCATGTCCTCTCGGAGTGGACACGTCCCCTCGGACTGGACACATCCTCTCAGGGCGCGCTCTCCCCGACGCGTTGTCCCTGCCAGCCGTTGTCCAGCGGTTTCTTTTAAAGAGATGCGAACTCCCCCCCCCCCCCCC